CACACACACACACACACACACACACACACACACACACACACACACACACACACACACACCCGGGCGCGCGCATTCATTATGTATGCATAGTCTTAATTATGTCTGTACTATGTTCATGAAAAATGAAAATGAACGGAAATTACTACAGCCATTGAAAGAACTTAAAGTGATTACGTCACGAATTTCTAGCACCATCAAGTAGTATATTTGTGTGTTATTTGTACAAAATAAAATGTATGAAAAAACAATTAGTGTTTCTGTTTACTTTTCATGCTTATATACCTTCGTTATATGCCCTAATTTGCCGGTGAAAAACCGAGAAATCTGAACGGTACTGGGGGAATAGTGTTAGACAACAGAAATTACCAAATCGTCTCGATTTTTGCAAATTTAACCAACGTAAAAACATTTTTATCAGGTGAGAGTTTGAGGATATATTTAGTAACGTTAGTTCTTACTTTTAATGTAAGAAAAATGGCAATTTTTTTTTTTACAAATTTTACCATGGAAAATTCGTGACGTAGTCAATTTAATTGGAATTTTAAACGAGTTTTTATATGCATCTAGCAGAATTATTGCAGCACAGTTCAGAACAACGTAAAAAAAATTGTGTAGCCATTCAAACGCTTTCTAACTTGATCTAAATCATTTTAATCAAAACTTACAATTGGTATTAAATGTATTATATCCAGCTTCATATTAAAAATATACATTTGAATAAGTTTAAAACAAAGCATTTCATACCACACAAACGCATGTGGATTTTAAACTATCGTACCATATTCTCAACGTGAAATAGCGCATCGCCCCCCAGGGTTTTTGATAGTACTTTGAATGTGTTAACATTACTGCAATGGACTTGCAGGGCTCATCCTTCGGAGCTCGCAAATTCGTCAACAATGGCTTCGTAGTTTAAAGAAAGGTCTTTGTGGACGACAAGGTGCACCGATCCTCTCCCATATCGCTGGATACAGTTTTGATATTTTGGGCAGAGTTTCTGCACTTCTACAGCCGCGCTAGTGACTGGAGCGCATGACACAGTGGACCCATGCTAAGGAATAGACACGAGTTTGACGATTCCACAGTGTCCACCAGTGTCATTATTAGTCACAGTTGATTTAATTATTAGATTTATTCAATCTGGTAAAACCAGACCAAAATTAATGTAGGCCTACTGACATCATATCTGTCCAAATCATCAGCGCGTGGACATTGGTCAGAGAACACTTCACTTTACCTTCACTATGTGCAACTCAGGACTATATTTCATCTCCAACTATTGAATATACTTGGGCTTGTGATTAATTTATGAACAAATAATCACAAGTTTGTTGTGAATATTGAACTGAATGACTTAATTACCTGAAACTCGCAGAACCTGAAGCGGGCAGATGATTATTTGTTCCTGTTTTATTTATTGGTTTTTTGTATATTTTTTGTTCTCCATTTTTTTACTTTTAAACATATATGCAGTGTGTTATTTGCCTCATTAGGCATTTTGTATATTCCCCATCAAACTCTCTCTCCGTCTTTCTTCTCTATTAATTATTATTTTGTTCAATAAGGGGTTGACTGCATGGAGCCGGGTCGCCCATAAAACTTATGGTGTTGGTCTTCTCTACGTATCCGCTTTCTTCGTGCAGATCACAAATCTTTCACAATATTTCATATCATCGTGGTCAGGTGAAAATTAGTATTCCTTCTTGTTCCATGAAACTTATTCGTAGTAGTCAATCATTCTAGCCTGATCGCCGCTTTCGACATTTCGTCATCAAAGGATTGTATCTTTTTCGTTTCTGTTCATATCGGAATTTCCCGCGTTCTAATCTTCTCTGGTTAATTTTAAAACTTAATCCTCAGTGCTGATCCTCAGTCTATCTATTCGATTCAATTTGTCTTTGTTCGTCTTCGGTGTAGTTCTTTTGACATTGAAGACTATATTCCTTACGAAGTTACGAGGTAACGAACCAAACACCTACGTAACAATGCACACCACCGCGCGTTTTCCGACGGGGCCGTTGAACGCTGACTGATGCGACATCAATATATAATATGGTCTAGCCACTGTGCCGCCTCGACGAAGTCACGGGGCTATGACGTCAGAACTCCGCCCTATGCAGACAGGGTGTGCGCCGGTTTTCAATCACTATCGCCGACCGTTGAGATCGTTGACGTTGTTGTTTGTTAGGGTACCTAATTGCAATCGTTATTGACTGTCACCAAAGAACGTACATCTATTCAAAATGGTATGTATACATTGGATGTTATTGATCATATTGCAACTAGGAAAGGTTATCCATTCGAGTTATTTTCGAAGAATAAGCTAGAAATATAAGAATCCGTCTGTACTCGCCTAGCTACTAGTACTAGTACAACGAGGATAGCTCTACTAGTACTATAGCCCGCGTACAGTTGCCGCAGTGCTATAGCCTATAGAATGTAATATGGCAATTTCAAGTGAGTAAGCAAAGACAACTGTTTGCCGATAATAACTTTTTTGGTATGCCAAATAAAACACATTCTCTGCCGGACAAATGTCTTAAGTTACTACAAACACTAAAATGAAAAGACAAACTAACGCTTAAATATTGTACTTGCGGCATTACTCGTCTACGAAGATTGTTTATCAAATTGTAACCGCCATTTCTCGTTGCGCAGCGCTCGCGCGGTTCCGGCGCTAGCGAGCGGGCACAATGTATTTCCAAGTGGAGGTGTGGGCAGGTTGCACGCGGATTTAACCGCCATTTTTCGTTGCGCAGCGCTAGCGCGGTTTGCAACCGCGTGCAATCTGCCCACCCCTCCACTTGAAAATACATTGTGCCCGCTCACTAGCGAAAAATGGCCTGCGGCAACTGTACGCGGGCTATAGTACTAGAGCTACAACGAGGATAGACCGAATAATTTTGTCCCAGATATTACCTTTTTTATATTTTGGTGAGGGTTATTGGGACAGAACGGGGTGCATTGAAATTTCGTGAGCAGCGCATGCAAAATGCATGCGCTGCTAAAATGCGGCCCGTACACTGGTATTGGCGCGTAAAAAAGCCTACTGTTCCCTTCTACATGGCTTTACCTAGCTCCAAGAAACGGTATTGCTAGGGTTAGAATACCGTTTGAAATTCTTGCCCATAAAAACGTGTAGTTGGCTCGGTATCCAAACATCGACACAGCTAGCGTCACATGTAATACTAGCTCAAACGAATCTATAAACCTCTGGCTTGCTCGCGGTAACTGGGCGCTACTTATTTATCGAGTTATACCGTATTTTCTGAGATTAAATGGATGAACACAACAAGAAAGCCGCCATGTTTGGTGCGACTAAAATCGGCAATGGACCTGATTTTCACAATGCGTAGGCCTATTATTTAGTTGTTGTAGATTGATGTTTTCTGGTTTTCAATGTTTTAATATTTATATTATATATATACGAGTATATGTAGATACAATAATGTAACCCAAACACAGGATAGGGGTACAACGCGATCCTATCCTTTTCTGTGGAGGAACCCCTGAGTGAATCACTCAGGGCGGTTTGCTGGTGCGTTTTCAGATACTACAACTTCCAAACTGGGTTTATTCTAAACACGAACCTTTCTTCGCTATCCTGGGACTTACTATGTATCACAATACTCTGTATTAAACTATTATAACCGGTTACAACATTTCGAAGTGACGAGCGGTGATATTTCGAGCGCCATTTTGTTGACCTGTGACGTACAGATTCCCAATGCTCATAGCGTTCGACTAACTTCGACTCCAAGATCGAATGTATCATGGGATGCCTGCTTTCAGTCATGACGTCATGACGAAGTTAGCCGAACGCTATGCGCATTGGGAATCTGTACGTCACAGGTCAACAAAATGGCGCTCGAAATATCACCGCTCGTCACTTCGAAATGTTGTAACCGGTTATAAAAGTTTAATATACAGGGTATTGTGATACATAGTAAGTCCCAGGATAGCGGAGAAAGGTTCATGTTTAGAATAAACCCAGTTTGGAAGTTGTAGTCTCTGAAAAACGCACCAGCAAACCGCCCTGAGTGATTCACTCAGGAGTTCCTCCACAGAAAAAGATAGGCTCGCGTTGTAACCCTATCCTGTCAGTGTGTTTGGGTTACATTATTGTATCTAGAGTATATGATGCTTATTTATGCTCGCGCCAACGCTATGATATGTTATGTCGTTTCGGGTTTCCCGCGTTCGGATCTAACCGGAAAGTCTGATGCGGAAGTTGATATGCGTAGTATGGAATATGACCATGCGCAACCACCAGCACCATCAACAGGCTGTATGCATTCAACTTCGGAGATAGCCGAGTTCGTGCGTGACGTCAGTGTACGTCACGAGGATACTTTGGTTCATGGAAACATGCCCACCTGAATCACTCTAAAAGCATGCGCAGTGGAAACATGGCAGTTGGCGGTTGGTTGAAATTTCGGTTCGGCTCTTGAAATTTACACTGTGCACAGTGAACTGAGCTATTCGTTTTAATAACAATGCTGGAATACTATAAGGACGAGATGTCTGTTTATACACGAGTAATGGCGGCGCATTGCATGCCGGGGGGGGGGGGCCTTTGTTTCGAGGCCCGTCAAGCCAAGCATGATGCGTGCGGGCGTGACGTCACACACACGACTACAGTGATCGATCGAAAGTAGCGCCGTTAGGGATTTTCGGATGATACGTCCTCTTTACACTCTCTTTACATTTTCACGGAGAGAACATTTCCTGCAGGATTTTACGAGATATCTCTGGCGGGAGTAGGTAAGGACAAAGGACAGAGTTATAATTCGAATAAGAACATTTATCTACACAATCATAGATACCAAGATGGAAGCTGTTGGATGTGTATTCGTGCTGTGAAGTTGTGAAATGAAGCAAGCGTCGAGCGAATTTTGCGATCACGCTTTCCTACTTGCTCTCTTATTCATGTTGTTTGTGCACAGGGCGGGCGTGCGGTGTACTTGTGTGTTGCAGATGAGCATTTGACTGGCATTTACAGGTGATTATATGCGAAATAGAGTAGAGAAACATTAAGACTTTGGTAGTAAATACATTTTGTGTTTATTTACCTTCTCTTTTTTTATTGAGATGTTCCAAGTGCCTGTGTACTGCAGAGCCATGTTCAGGTTGTTTTATTAGATTTTCTTTTTCTTTTTCAGCGTGAATGTATTTCTATCCATGTTGGTCAAGCTGGTGTCCAGATTGGTAATGCCTGCTGGGAGCTGTACTGTTTGGAACATGGTATACAGCCTGATGGTCAGATGCCCAGTGACAAGACCATTGGAGGTGGCGACGATTCATTCAACACTTTCTTCTCAGAAACTGGAGCAGGAAAACATGTACCACGTGCAGTGTTTGTCGACCTAGAGCCAACGGTAGTCGGTATGTGATACAAATTAACTTATCGCAGGGAAATCCGTATATTGACATAATGTTACTCGTTGTAAAATTAGTTGGCTAGAATTCTATATTTGGGTATTATTAGAAATCAGTCTTCTCTTTCATTGCGGTAGCCAGCAGTCTTATCAGAAGTAGATAATAGGGAAGTACTCAGTACTTTAGTGTGACTTCAATAAACAAGGGAAATTCGTCATTTACTAGCCTTAGCATACCTACGATTTACTACGCGTAATTCAACGAACTTGAGCTCAAATCGTACACAGTACATTCGCCTAGCATCGTGCGAAATCGTTTCCTCGTATACACCCGCAATCCGGAAATACAGACTAAAACGTACGACACGATTTTCCATTATGTTGCCAGCAAATTGAATGTATAAACCGCCTAACTTGAAACAAAAGGCAGCTACTACTACTAGCGACTCTTGCGCACTCGTCGATGCGGTGTGGCTCGCTAGTAGCTGCCTTTTGCGTAGTAAATTGTAGACCTGTACCGTATGCTAAGGCTAGTAAATGACGAATTTCCCTTGTTTATTGAAGTCACACTCCTTCCTTATTACTACTTCTGGTATTATGCTGTATTCATTACCAAATGGCTGCACATTCCGCACAGCTTTACCTGCAGTGTCCTTTGACGGTGGTTCATCACTCTTTCTTAGGGTGGTTTGATGGCTATAAATCTATGGATTGAGCTTGGGGTGGGGTATCTCCAAATAAATTTTCTGTTTATAGTATTACATAGCAGTGCCAACCTGCCTGCAGTTACACCTAACAAGATAATGATGGAAAGGATATGCGATACTAGTACATGAAGTATATGTGCAACTAGTCAGGGTTCTCCAAGGGCACTTATAGCCTGGCGGCCCGCCAGGCTATCGTCGAGCCCCGCCATCCTAAAACCCAGCGGTTCTCCAGGGGCACTTAGTAGCCTGGCGGACCCGCCAAGGCTATCGTCAGAGCCCGCCCCATCCTAAAATGCCACCCGCCACTCTAAATATCAAGACCGCCAATGCCTAAATATCATAGCCCCCCAGACCCCCCTAGCACGCAAACCGCCTTCGCCGCGATTCTGCAACTAGGCCGTAAAGGCAGCACCCGCCATGGCGCTATAATGAAAAAGCTTGGAGAACCCTGCTAGTATATGTCGTAAGCCATTAAATATGTGCTGATGGTTGCTTCATCACCTTGAGAGGCAGGGCCTGCTCCTTCTAATAGAATGCAATGCTGAGGTATACATTTACCGTTTGGCATGTATTTTTTTTATGGTTGATATTTATCACAGTATAACAATTACATGCCACGGATCAACTCTTGCGATTCACTGGGATCGAATAATGCGATTCACGGATCTATATTATTGGTCGATTTTCGATTCACGGATCGAAATGCTTCGATCACCGGATGAATATCCGATTCAGAATCAAGAGCTTGCAAGGTCTTGACGTAGTGTCGTTAGCAGGAGGGCATTTTACATAATACAAAAAAATACCGTAGTGGTTATTCGCGGTGCCACACGCGCAATCAAGACCGGCGAAGTTAAACTGACTTAGCCTTGCACCACTGAGCTCTATCATTTTATTTTTATATTTTTTTTATTTTAATATTTTATACATGTTGAAAGGCCAAGGAGTGTCCAATTTAGCAGTTAATATGATGAGCAAGAGGGAAATGGAGGGGAGGGAGAGAAGGTGGTACAGGAGGAAAGAGGAAGAGGATAGAGGGAATGAGGGAGAAGGGGGTGCGAGTAAGAAGAGGGTAGAGGACGAGAGAGGGGGGGGGGGAGGTAGAAAAGGGGGCTACATGAATGAGGTCGAGGAGGAGGTAGGAGGGTAAGAAGGAGGGGAGAATGTGCGTGGGCCGAGAGGGGCGAGTGGGAGGTTCAGTGGAGGGAGAAGGTAGAAGAGGGAGGAGGTCGAGGGATGGTGGGAGAAGCGTGGGAGGGGTAGAGGAGAGGGGATAAGGGTAGAAAGAGGAGTAGGTAGGGATGGTAGGAGAAGACGGAGGGAGGTAGAGCGAGGGGAAAAAGTGGTGGAGGAGGAGGGGGAGAAGGTGGTCTGAGGCGCAAGGGAGGAGCGGCGTCAAATGGTAAGTGAGTGGAGAGGAGGGAGGAGGGGGTCGAGTGTTAAGGGAGTGAGAGAGGGGGGCGATCAGACCCTGTGGTCTTGTGCTCACCGGGCCGGCTCCGCAGAATGCCACAACTATATAATTATTTCCATTTCCATTTTTTGTAATTTTGTTTTATTAGTACTTTTAAAGGGCTCAATATGCGCATTCCAAACGCTAATGTTCTCCGTACTTAGGCTAGCAAATACTTTCGTGTCATGCATAATCATACTACTTATGGCAAAAAATAAACTCATAGTTCCTTCCCATTTGCATGCGTTGCCTCTGTATTAAAAAGGAATATCTTTGAAAATACCTCCAATGTTGTTGAAATTCTCCGATGTTTTGAGCGTCTTCCCCCAATCTCCAAGCAAACGTGCCAGCGGTTGCCGCGGTACAGCGGTACCGGTGGCGCAGCAAAGATAAAAACATGTGACTTTCACCGTTCACCACTTCGCAGGCCTATTTGTTTGGGGAACAGTCGGCTGTTTGGCCAGAATGCCAGTTTTCTCACCTCTTCTTGTCGGGTTTAAGCAACGCGCAGTTGAAATGGGAGC